TGTAAAAAAACCTAGAGCTTCCCTATCGAAGTTATGTATTTTAGATTTGCATAGACTATGGTTTAATATGTTTGACTAATCGTATGGGCTATCATTGGAACAAACTGTAGCGCTAGTGGAACCAGGGATTTCTGAAGGCCTAAAAAATATATTGGAATGTCTTAAGTTTAAATAAAGTTTAAGGTTCATACAATGAGTAAATCACAGTTTTTCGGTGAGATAAAAGAATTTCCAAAGTTTTTTTTCCAAAAGATATTAAGAAAATTTACCTACCACATATTAATTTCGTGTTATAAAAATATACTCATTAAATAATTTTAAATGAAACCTCTGTACTGACACAACAGGTAGCTATTCATGAATGCAAAAATTCTCATTGAATCTGTTAAAAAAAAGTTATTTAAACAGAGTATTCATTCTATTTCACGGTTTCTCATTAGCTACATACAACCTTAAATTACAATTACTAACATAAATATAATTATTAACAAATGTTTCACATACTTTAGTTTGTAAAGTTTAAATAAATGTTTAAAATGTAACCAATATCAAAATAATGAGAAGAATATAAGATACAAATTTTATAAATAAACACAGACAAGATCGATATATATATATATTTACAAGTTGGAAACTAATAGTCCAGAGTACAACAGATGTTTTAATTACCAGTAATCATAATAAAGATGAAAGAAGTGAAGAAATTCATGAATGATTGAATGATTACTCGATATGAGAAAATCAATAAATTGTTGAACATAAAATTATGTAAGAGATAAATATCAGATAATGGAAAAGAAAAAGTAAAAAAAAAAAAAGAAATAGATGGAAAAGGCGTTGAAAAAAAATTAAAAATTATTAAAGGTTATTCGATTAAAAATGTAATCACCATAGTAAAGAAATGCAAATCACACTTACCTTATGTGTACATAGGTCAGGTTAAAAAATGTTTAATAGAGATCGCATCAGCAAAACGCATTAAGTTTGATGTACTTTGTCTATTGATTATTTTGAATGTATTATTTACATTCACTTCATGTTCACTGTCTGGAAGGTATCTGAAAAATGCCCTTAAGAAGACTTCATTTCCTGTGAAACGTAGGTTTCTACAAACGTCTTTGTAAACCTAATTGAAACTGTTCTCTCTTTTCTTCCTAGAAACTTGCTACTGCCGGTACATATAAATTCATAGATATTACTGAAGTTACTGAGAGTATCGATCTAACTTTGAATGGCATAAAGTTGTATAGTGATACTGATTGGTCCTCTCTTTCATATTCTATCATAAACATTATGCTTGCATGAAAGTTATTGAAGTTAATAAGTAGTTAAGAAGCGTGACCCATATCATCACAGGTAATTATCGTATAATCAACATATATCGAGCCGTTTATTTAGTCGAAATCTTCAGGTTATAGACATTTTATTTATTTGGACATATAAATAATGATACAAAGGGGCATTGAATACATACGCGCCACGCAAGTCACTTCATTTGAGTGTGGACTGTGATACTGCCCAGGTGCTCAGACCGAAGCCGGGGTTTCTACTAGGGGGGCACATCAGAAGCCTTCGACTTAAAGGTCTGATCCACAAGGCAGTGGAGCAACATTAGAAAATGCAGTCCCATGGTAGCCGGTGACAAACTATTGGTTCATACGCCATTTCTCCCCTCAGGATCCTGGAGCCCATGTGCACCGTTGGTTTGGAATCAGGGTTTCCAACTCCCCTTAGGTGGATTCTACATATCCATCAACCCGGTTAAATCGCCGGAAATTCGCTTTTCATCCTCTTAATTTCGTAAACAGCAGTAAATAGGACTTCCTTTACAGAGTGGCTGTATACGAGTGACCATGTGATAACATTATGAAAGAGAGCTGACTCTCTCCACCATCGGCCATAACAGGGCATTTGAGGGTAAGTGAACAAGTGGAGAACTCCACCGTTTCGGTGAAACACTATGATATCGCGTTATCTCATAACATACACCAGAAGTCATAGTTTATATATCAAGGACTGGTCTTTTCCAAATCACCATTGAAAACTAACGATCACTAGGCGGATGATAAGTCTCCGTACGGGATTCCTCAGAAGTGCTCACCTACGACTCTGATATCAGACAGAAACTAGCACCTCCTATCTCATACGTGAATGCCTAGCATCGAAACCAGTAAGCGCGTGTCTGATATGTCTTCCAGACTGAACGCTACTATGTTATATCTGGTCGTCGCTGATTATTATGTCGGAATCACTTATTTCTTATACTTGTAAAATGTGGAATCAACTCTATTCCTATGACTCAGAAGTGAGATCATGAAGACTGGTGAAAATGAAGATTTATTAATCCCGAAACACGACAACGATGACCACAGTCATTTATATATTATTTCATACACCCATTTTGATTAATAATTAGGATGAAATCACATGTATGACGAATAATGAGGGTCATAACACATCATATGCTACATGTCATGCTGAGCATAGTTCATGCCCACTGAATTCAAGAATATCGTATATTATACAGAATAAAATATCATACGGGAAAACAGAAACAAATACTAAATTGAGTAACCATCACATTGAATTAAAACAGAATTAATGTTGAACAAAGGTCATAATGAGTAAATCAATCTAATTTTGACTTTTCCCGTCATATCAGTATCCACTTGTGTGTATGTTTAGCTTCAATCAATTGACAATCCTGCGCAACCACCGCCCATTTCCCGTATTGTATAGCTGTTTCACATACGAAGTAGTTTATCTCCAGTGGCCACAGCCTTACCCTACTATTCCTGGGATTTGCTCTCTAGGCGAGTTAATAGTTTGTCGGCCGGAGGTTCAACTTCTAAGTACGAAGTCGTTGATACTCATTTCTGAGGAGTCCGGTACTAGCACGAAATAGACATACAATCCCTTCTGGTTTTGATTGGTGGTCTAGATAACATCAGTTCATATCTTAAACCATGAAAAATGATCAGTTATTATTATTAATAGCCTAATTGTCTGAGGTAGGTTTGGTTGACAAGTTTATTTGTGTAAACAGGAAATTATTATTATTATTATTGCAATTACTTTATTATTAGCATTGATAAGTTTATGTGTAGCAAACTTAAAATATTTATAGACGTTTGGTTACTAGTTTCAACAAAATACCATGCAATAACAATCGTTCCCAACATCAAAACTGTTACATATGTACATACCAAAAGTTATTTCAGTCTAATGAACAAGCCTTTTCTCAGCGAATATTTTGTCGCTATTCTTTGCTATTTAAAATCGGTATTCGTTTAACTTTATTTGAGTAGAGCATTGACAAATTCAGTCAGCATTTCTAATTATGCCTAACTGCTTAAATGTTCTCTGAAGTAGTAGCTTACACTGGGTCACGAAACCTCATAAAATTTTATTTTTCTACTCATTGGGATATTACAAATATATTAATTTATTTATAACAATCTACCCAATGCTCAATTTGTTCGAAATTATCGAGTCAAACCTTGGTAATGATACCTATGGTGAAATAACGTTTTATTAATGCAAAGTTCATACGTATGTTCCTGGGTCAAAATGGTAAACTTATATATGAGTTAGCAAATCTCAATAAACTTAAGACATATCACACACATCATTTTACAAAATATTGACGTTTATTATGCAGGGTAACGTATCTCAAACTAAAAGAGAGGATTAGTACTCTGCATCGTCACTTGTATATCGATGGCAGTATCAAGATATTCAGATAACCTGGTTAGGGTTGGGGAATTTAAATAAACAAATATATATGAAATTTAAGTCCCATTGCCATTATCTGATCAAAGTGTAAATGGAAGACAGTTAGCACGAATACAAAGACAAAAGAAAACAATGAGACTTGAGGCGATAACCAGTCACAAACAAGGCCGCCAGATCAAATTGGTTAACGGGTCAGTTCTCCATAAAGTAAACAATTGTAGTATTGTCGAAAATGATATTTAAATCTCAACAGTTAAGCAATATATCGCAGAGAATGCAACAACACTGAAAGTATTTTTTTATATTGAATTATTATGAAAATTTAAGGTTTAAACTCAGGAAGCTGATACGAAATTCTCAGTATTATGAACTTTTGAAAATGAACTAAAATATTGCTATAAATTATCTTTTCTACTCTCAAAGCATGTTAATGACATATATTTAAATTAACGAAGAGAGAATAGAAATCTCTCAACAAAATTTTTATCTCAGTAGTTGAAATCATGAGTCAATTGAAGCTAGACCACCAAGGAAAACCTGGAAGCACTGGACGGCCGTTTTATCCTAGTATGGGACTCCTCAGCAGTGTGCATCCACGATCCCGCCCCCTGCGAGATTCCAACGCAAAATCTATCAGTCTCGCGTGCGAGCGCTTAATCACTAGATCAGTAAACCGGCATCCAATGGTGTTAATGTCCATCTTCAACCAATCCACGAAACCGCGTGACCGTTTTCCAATTTACTGAGGTAGATACCTCTATCTACCCGACAAGGATTAATTCTGGTGGTCACGTGTTGTCACTAGAACTCCAGGTCCTCAATGGTGATCTAACATCAATCGGTTTATGATATCAATCAAATTTTTTTCTATTGACGTTAGGTTAGTTGATATTTTGTACTTTATTACAATTTAACAAACGTGAATTTTGTTTAATTAAGCTGGTTGATGTTAATATGATTTCAATTTCTAGTTATTCAAGAACCAAACAAAATTTATCCTAAACAACCAATTGATTCCTTTATTTTATATTGTATGAAACATTAAAAAAAACATGTTTAGGTGGCCAGCATTTGATTGGTCCGTTTAATCTATATCACAAATAACAGCCAATCGAAATTCAAATATAAACAGCCTATCAGAATAAAATATTGGAATTTAATTTTAAATGTTATTAATATTAGTGTTGTCAGGTTTGTTTATTTCTGTTTTATTTTGTTGCATATTTATCATAAAAATTAAAATAGTCAACATAGTACCAATAATTATGTCATATACTAATGAAACTAAATTACAATTTTCACTTACATTTTATTATTATGTATCTTATCTTGGAGATTGTGAAAAAATTGATAATCCAAATAAATATGGTAAACCATTATCAGTACCAGAGAGATGGGAACAAATTCCTATGTTATGTTTAACATTTATTGCATTTATAGTAAATGCTATATCATTATTTATATTTATATTTGGAGAATTCTTTATAAATCGTTTATCAACAAAAAATGATATTAAAACAAGAACAATATCATCAATATTATCAAAAAATCAATCAAAAAAACCTAATCGATCAAGAAGTTCTTTTTTAACAAGTTTAATTATTTTATGTATATTTGAAGTTATATTTAGTTTATTTGCATTTTTATTTAAATTAATTGAAATATTTTCACCATATTTTATTTATCAACAAATACCATTATATATAAATAATCATATACCACCAGATATAAAAATAATTATAATACCAATGATACAAAATATATTTATGTTTCTTGCTGATATTGGTTTAATGTGTAGAAATTGGTGTATATGTTTAATAACAATTGCACGTGCTGAAGTTGTTATATGGCCATTAGGTTCAAAATCATGGCAATGTATATTAAGAAATCCACGTAAATTTACATTTATATTTATGATATTTTTTATTATATCCATTATAATATCTTCTTTTAAACATATAGATTATATTGGTATATTATGTTATGATAAAATAAATCAAACATATGGTTTATGGTCAGAAGAATATTATTGGAGTTATGAAGTTTTTTCAAAATATTTAACATTTATTGTATTACCATATCAAGCAGTTATACCATGGTTTATTATTACTATATTTACTACATTTATTTTATTTCGATTAAAACCATGGAAAAATGATAAAAATTTAATTTTATTTACTAATAATACAAAATCTTTAGATGATATACCTGATATACAAAAATCAGAACAACAACAACAACAACAATGTTGTATACAACAAGATGCTTTAAAGAAACGTCAACAAGGTCAAATTAAAGCAACACGAATTGTATTAGTTGTTGCTATTTTATTTGGTTTATTAGAATGTATGCTATTTATTGTATCAATATGTCAAACAGCAAAACTTATAACTAATAATTCTCTAAATCGTAAATTAGAAACAATTGGTAATACATTGGTAGCAACTGATTCTATATGTAATTTCTTTATATTTATATCATTGATGGTATATTTTCGTCAATTATTTGCAAAAATATTTCTTTGTAAAGAAATTAATCAAAATATGAATACTACTACTACCACTACTACTACTAATAATAATAATAATAACACTATTAATACTGCTGTTTCACAGAAAAACACATCATATACTTCTATTAATCAAACATATATAACTAATGTAAATGATGTGAATAAATTGAATAGTTAATCTTCATAATTTCTATAAGTCTGATTCATTAAAACAAAAATAAAGTCAAAAAAAAAACAACGACAAAAAAAGAAACACAGTTACCAATTGAAAATTTACAATACTTCTTGGCATTATATTACCGACTATAATTTGCTTCATAAGGTCATATTTTATAAATATTTATTGGTTAAGTTATTACAATTTACTACAACATTCCATTTCTCTTCCTTACATAACAAACTATTCTCTCCTTGAGATAAAAGAAATAGATTAACCTTTATTGACCTTTATTCGTTTTTTTTTTTACACTCAGACAATATCATAGCCTATATACAAATTAAGTGACTTGTGTTGGACATATGTATTCGGTGCCCATTTGTATCAATAATTATATGTTCAACTAACTAACTAACTAACTAAATATTATTATTATTATTGCTTCAATACATGGTTCAGGTATATTTTTGTTCATCCAAGTTCAATCACTTATATGTTTGTCATTTGTTTTCTTTAAAAGAAAAATAATTTATCACTTGTCTTCAAATGAAAATTGTTTTTAATGTGTATATGTAATTATTGTGATTTTAAAGAAAATAAAAGAAATACTACTGATAATTTACAAAGATCCCTATTTTTCTTAGTGATTTAAAGTAATTTGAAATTATTTAATTTATCAGAAATGGTAGTTTATTACAAGTACTTGCCCCATTGTACCTTTCAGTCAAAAAAGTTGGTGAAACTTAGTAGGTTATTCTGGAGAGAAATAGACCATATCGAAGCAAGGTACAAATATCGGGGCTACAATAGCTGTGTTTTGTAACGGGTTGAAGTTTGTCCCGTAAGGAGTGATCCCGTACATTACATGCACCATTTTTGTCAAATTTTTTGTCGTTTTTCCATCCAACAATAATTGTTCTGTGATTCTTTGTGGATTTCGTAATCGGTTTAAGAGTATTGGTTGAGTAGGTGGTTAGCTTGATCTCTACCATCCGGGTTAACGTTCACGTTAGATTATGGGTCATCCGTCCTACTATCCAAGAGACAGGACGCGGACGTATGAGTGGGGTTTTGCTTCCCATTACAAGTACTTACTTCGTTTATAAAATTACTATACTACGTATTCTGTTAACAACATAAATGTCAATGAACATAGTTTTTATTACTACTAATTCCTCTAAATAGCATATTGATTTCTTTAGTAAACTAAAACTCTTCCTAGATCCCCTTTATGTTTATTGCTAATTCTGTTAAGGAGTATCTATTACAGATGTTAAGACATGTATTGACAAATCAATAATTACATTTATACATTTTAACAATATTTGTAGCTCATAATAACTATTAACCAAAAATAAAGTTAAATTAGAACTAAGTAACGTAAAAGTTTAGTTGGTTTATAAGGCTGAGATTTGAAGAGATATCACAACCATCACGGAAAATGTAAAAGTATGTATAAATAGCTGCTTACACAAAACACTTCAGATCTATTGGCCAAAGTTATTCAGTAATCACCTACTATAACAGAGAACAAAACAAATGACGATTGAGGAGGAAATTAGAAAAGGATGCTGAAAATAAATAGAACACACTACGGCAATCACTAGACCAAAACATAAAGCAAGCTCAAACTTGGAGTCATCAAGTTAAAAGAAAAAGACATCAATAAAATAACAAACGATGCCAGAAACTGAACTTAGATATTAAGACCATGAATAGTAATTGACAATATCTAGAAAGAAAAGACTGGTCTGAAGATTCATAATACACTGTCTTTCCCCGTAAAAGATAATACACTCAAAATCAAATCAACACTAATTAACTAGGTATCAACTCAAAGCTATAAAATTATTGAATGCCGGCTCAGTGGTCTAGAGGTTAAGCATTCGCGTGCGAGATCGGTAGGTTCTGGGTTCGAATCTCACGAGGTAGGATCGTGGATGCGCACTGCTGAGCAGTCCGATATTAGGTCATGTCGACCGTCAAGTGCTTCCAGGTTTTCCGTGGTGGTCTAGATTCAATTGACTCATGAGTTCAACTATTAAAAAAAACAAAATTATTTATCTAGTTTAAACAAAGCATACATTTAAATTAATTAAATATTGAAATAAATATTTAAAAATAATATATCACTTATTCTTTGTTGATAAAAACTGGAATTGTTTATCATAACCCTTATTGCTCAAGTGTTTTCTTTTTATATCATATATTTTCTATTGAATATCTAGGTCATAAGGTGATAATTCTGATCTCAATATCAAACCCATATTACTGATAAGGTCTAAATTCTGATAAAATTTAATATGTAACATTGTAAGTTATCTGATAGACTTGGCAAATCTTCTACAATCAATTTTGTTTATGGTTAATTGTTTTTCAAGCCCTTTTATTAACTTATTCTAATAGACAATATTATTCGGATAGTAACGATTTGTCTATCTCTTTGATTTATTTTCATCATTATCATGTCTGTGTAAACGTGAACTCTTCATCGGTCACATATGACAGCCTACTCAAATATTTCTTTCTAACTACAATATTGATCACTTAGATATCGCTCCACGAGTTATTCTATTTCCCAAATATATATGTGCTCGAATTCTATTATTAGTCTTTTGCTTGCTTCGTTTAGACTTGATTCGATTTGATTATAAATCAGACTACCTATTCACTCAATTACACACGTTTCCCTCTCTGCTTCAAATTCACTCGATGTGCTCATAACTCTATTATCTGTGCTATCCGCTAATCAACTATAGTCAACTATGGTCTCATTACCTTCTGAATTGAAACACGGTTGTGATTCATATAATCACAGTTAACGAGATGATTGATTAACGAAGCTAAGCTATTACAATGTGATAAACAAATTGAGTTCAGTTGTCACATAACTATTCATATATATATAAATAAATGAAGATGAAAATAATTCTATGGCAAATTTTTTTAAACAATGCAAAACTTTATATAATAAGATTAAGTATAACATATTTTCAGTGTATTTTATGAATGAAAAATGTATCAGTTCAGCTGTTAACATATAACAGATGATGTTTTGCATAATCAAATCCCTACTGAGTATTATTGTAGTTTGAATGAACGTTAAAATGTTTGTGAGAGAAAATTGTCAATATACGGTATGTACACTTTTATTGGTTTTAATGATTAGTATTGTGGTTCTACGTTCTAGGCATCTGATGGGAGTTCATGAAATAATCCGTGTCGGGTAAAGACATGTATCTATCTCAGTACAATCGAAGATGGTCGTGCAATTTCGTCAATTGGTTGAGAATAGATTTCGACACCGCTGGATGCCAATTCAATGGTCTAGATGTTAAGCGTTCGCGCGCAGGACTGATAGGTCCTGGGTTGTATTCTAGCATTGGGCGAGATCGTGGATGCGCACTGCTGAGGAGTCCCACAACGGGACGAAACGGCTGTCCAGTGTTTTCAGACTTTCAATGGTGGTCTAACAACAGTCGATTCATGATTTCAGTCAAAAATAATGTATTCATGTTATTCTGTCACGATGATCATTCTTTCTAATTCTAGAATACATTTAATTATGTATGATGAATTCTTAATAAAAGTGAATTTTGTTTGAAATTTGTTTTTAAAAAATATTGACACTAACGACAAAATCACAAAATATGAAGCAATATTGATTAGTTTTTCCCAACAGTGCTTGACATATTTGACTTCACAGCACCTACAATGATAACAACTCATTGTTCCATATTACAACAATTTATTCAGATAATCCTTTGTAATGCAATGAATGCAGAAAGAAAGGCCTTATAAGGTAATACATCACAAGGTAATGCATTACCAACTGTTCATTGGAAGATTTTGGCGTAAAAATCATTCATCCATTTGGTTAAAAAGCGTTTTTGGCATTTTAGCTGATGTCATTTCGTAATGAAAACCATAAATCTAATTCCTAACAATTAACCATAAACAATAAATCTTAATTCTAGTTCCTCATCATGATTTATAACACTCATTTGATCCTTGTTAGTATGTGAACATTCTCAAGATCACTTTAGCGTCACTCAAAGGTCATCTATAAATTATAGTCACACCTTATCTTAATGTAAATGGAACTGAAAACATACCTAAACATTTACAAAAGTAAACAATTTCCAATATGAGTATACGATAAACAAATACCTCCAATTGCTTGGCGTTTCATTTGACATAGGCAAGTTTAGAAGTCATCATCGATCTATAATTTTCATAATGAACATTCTCTAAAAAACTTCATTTTACTAGTGATTTTATCTTCACTAGGTGCTAACCTTGAACACAATTTCTGATGTTCTAGTTACACATTGTAGGTGAGAGAGATAAGCAATATCAGATATGATAAGTATGTATATATTATTGATAGTAACGGATAACAGTAGTTTCACATCATGAACTGATTTGGTTTCTAAAGAAAACACTTTGATTTCAAGTTCTGAAATGTTTGGATAAATGATTCAAAATAATTCCTTTACATTTCAAATTATCTGAAAAACTGGCTTGCAATAAGTCACAAATCAAATTTTCTAAACAATGGAACTTGACATATATAATTTTTCTATTATAAACAATCTACTCCATGTTCAATATATTGGAAATTAATATCAAAGGGGTTTTTTCTGGATATTATAATAATTTCAATGATTGAGATCATGAGTCAGTTGAAGCTAGACCACTATGGAAAACCTGGAAGCACTGGACGGCCTCTTCGTCCTATTGTGGAACTCCTCAGCAGTGCGCATCCACAATCTCGCCCCCGCGAGACGAAACGGCCGTCCAGTGCTTCCAGATTTTCTATAATGGTCTAGCTTCAAATGACTCATGATCTCAACCATTGAAGTTACTATAATATCCACGAAAACCGCTTCTGATATTAATCAACATATGCTCACTAGTGACTGGCTTCAAGAGGTATATCCAAGAGTTCTATTGAGAAGTAGTGACTAGTGGAGTTCAACCAGCTCTGTTGTGAGATAGTAACTCACTGATGACAATGG